ATATATATATATATATATATATATAAATGGAATTATATTGTACATTAATTTTCACATGTGCTATAATAACACTCATTATTTATTTGAAAATTAATTTACAGTTAGTCGAATTGGAAAATAGTGGAGCAGGTAGCGAAGAATATGCGGCAAAGTTACGTGAATCTGGTTTACGGCTTCATGAATCTGAAAGAGCATTGAGTACTGCCCGTCAAGATTTGACTACAGCTCGTGAAATGCTGTCTCAGGCAACATCACAAAATGCTGCATTACAACAAAAATATGCACGTGCAAAAAGAGCAGCTCGTGAACTTCGTACAGATATAGCAGCGAGAGATGAATTTTATCAGCAATTATTACAAGAAAAAGATACAGAATATAATGCACTGGTTAAAAGTTTAAAGGATAGGGTATGTATATATCATTTTACTATTATAAAGAAAGAGTATGTAATATTATTTTATATATTTCATAGGTTATTACATTAGAAGTAGAATTAACAGAAACACAAAGAAGATTTGGATTGCCCGTTCGACTTCCATATGATGGTACCACAGCTAGAATAGTAACACCACAATTATCACGACGTCAATTACCACCACCACCTTCTTCATCCAGTTGTCAACTCTCTGATACAGAGACATCAGATTTGAGCAGTCCAGATGATGGAGACAAAACTGCAACTGTTGAACGAAAACTACCACTCCCACTTCCTGTAAAGGAAGAGTTAGATCGAGCAGTACCAGCTCACCGACTTCTTGATAATTCAGCTGGTAAAAGTAAAGCTGAACTTGCAAGTAGAGGTGGTCTTGCTAATCGTCAACTTCCTAAAAGATCAGGAGGCCTTAGTAACAGTAGCTCGGTACGTATATGTATTATTGTTATAATATTTAAAAAATTACTAATATTAGTTTGTAACTTACAGGATTATGGCTTAGATGAATCGGGTGATAATACCGATGAAGATTCGTCTTCAAAACATATTTCTCAGGATACAAGTAGCAGATCACCAAATGATCTAACATCAAAACAATCAAACCTAAGTTCCTATTCTAGTAGTTCATCGATCAGTTCATTAAAGGGAAAACAACATATTGAAACTACTCATACAACCACGATTCGACAACATAGTACAATCAGTTCACAAGTTAGGGCAATGACAGAGCAAAGTTGGCCACAAACCCAAAAAAGTATATGCATTTTAGTTTATCTGTTTATATATATAATAACTAAGATATGCATTTATTTATTAGTTCTTAATACATAAATAACAGCTTTAATGTACAGCATGATGTACTTTGTAAAATAGGTTTAACTGGACCTCCTGCATCGTTGGCAGAACAATTAAAACAAGTCTTGGCTGAGAGAGAAAGGCGTCTTGGTGGAAATGATTTGTCTTCTTCTAGAGAAAGTTCTGGAGATTTTAGCGATTTGAATAATCCACATAATAATGATCCCACTTTAGTAACTCATCATCTTGTGGAAGAAATACGACAAGCTGTGAATGAAGCCAATCAAAGAGGTACATATATATATGTATATATATTTATATATAGAATTCATTTACTGAATATTTCATAAGAAATCCTTTATATAATAAGTTGTATATGAATATTTACTTAAAACAATGATTTTATAATTGTTATAGTAAAAAAAGTTACGGTACCTTCGGCTAACTTAATTAGTAGTAGTGGTGCACCATGGCACCATCCTGGTAGTTCTCCTTCAAGTTTATCGTCTGGAGGATCCGTGAGTCCACCTGCTGTTGATCCTAGCCCATCTAAAACAGGTAGTGCAGGTAGGGATTTGTGATAATGAACATCTCTATTAACGGAACAAATGAAATTATCCATTTATGATTTTGTTACGCGTTATTCTAACGTGTTACGTGTTTCCGCAAGTAAATAAAATTATGAATCTAGATTCGAGTGAAGTTTGGTTGCCACCTCATTCAAGTGACTTTGGTTTAGGTGACAAGAAATCACACTTTTGGCAGAATGCGCCTGTTACGGATTGGTCTAAGGAACAAGTAAGAATCTTTTTATTTGGTACAAATATAATTATTTATGTATGTTAATATCAATTTATAACGTAATAAATGGTATTAGGTCTGCCAGTGGTTATCAGGAATGGGCTTGGAACGACATGCTCCTCGATTTTTGGAAAATGGAATTAATGGTGGAAGTCTTTTACGTCTTGAATCACGAGAATTAAAAGCTTTTGGTATTTATGGCGAGGAAAAGGCGCATCTTAAGCGGAAATTAAAAGAGCTAAGAGCACAAGCGGATAGAGAACGCAAGGAACGTAAAGAAATAGAACGAATGCGAAGAAAGGCTGAAAAGGCAGCACGAAAGAAATAATTTGTAAGAATAACGATTTTATTCTTTTTAAACGAACTGCAATAATATTGTCGAACAAAATTAATATGGTATGCATATTGTTGAGATATATATCTATACAATTTTTCTTGCATTATTATATCCTACAACGGACACTCTAGATGTATTAATTTTTTCAAAGAACATGTGTGTGGTGTGTGTGTGTATGTGTATACATATGTGTATATGTATATATTTATATATACACATATATATAGACAGATGGATAGATATAGATATAGATATCTTCCAGAACAACTTCAATTAAATAATTGTCGAATAAGGAATAATATCAATATTGTATATCAGTTTTCTCTCATGAAGCATCCAGCATATGTATAATGCTCCACAAAGTAAAAGTATTTTGCATTTATTTATCAACAATATACTCATATCATAATTATAATTATATTTCTGTTAATCGCGAACAATTTGTAGAAAACGATAACAGATATAATTTGAAAACAAAAAAAGAAACATAAAATAGTATGTGTTATGTAACATGTCTATATGCCATGTATATGCATGTGATTTTCAACTTATATTGGAAAATAGTTTCCAACGTAGGTTAAAAATCAGTGATATGTATGTACAAAAGTCAAGCCATTTAGATATATCGTCTCTTTTATGAGGCAGACTTCTATTTACTGATTGTGTATTTATTTTTACTACCTATTAATGGTATAATATCAATTTTCCATAATTAATAATGTAACATTATTAATACAACAGAAAGAATATTAGTATAATTATTATTGGAACAAGTGGCTGTCCCTTATTATGTAGATTATAAATTACCAACGAATTTTTAATTATCAATGCAATATACGTTATAAATATTGCTGTAGATATAATTAAATTGTGAAATAATGTTCTTTACTTATATTTGTTACAACTAGATTTATTAAAATCATTTTTCAATATATATATATATAAAGAAATCTCGAAATAAGAATAGGTATTAAATGCGAATAATTTTTGATTATTCCTGAATCGTATAAATTATTTGTAACATTCGCAGTATATCTGTCAATTGTATTATGCACACTAATCTAATATTTAATTTTTAATGTTAATTTGTGTATTAAATAATGCCATTTTTTATACTGTATTTGTAGACATTCCATATAAAGTTAAAGATATATCTTAATTAACACAAATAGATATAAAAACTATAACAAAAGCTTCTATGCTTAGAACGAGATATCATTTAATGCGCGCGGATATTATGCATTGTGTATTAAACTATTCTGTGTTAATACAAGACTAAGTAACCAAACGAGAACACGTATACGAATATATCATTAATACAATGGTTACGAGACTCATTTGGTTACAATATAGACAAACGTGCACTGCACGTGTACTTATTTATACTAGCTTTAAGATTATTTCAAGTTTAAATACTTTTTTATTTTATTTTGTCCAACGTAAGTTACAAATCAGTTCAATGTTTTTGTTTTTTTCTTATTAGAGACAACTGAACAAGTAAAATACTTATAATTGAAATGCATTGTATATATATACATTGAGTAATTATTAATCTAATAATTGAGAATTTAATCTAAGGCATATATAAGATTAATATTATAATTAAATATTATAGTGTCATAACACATCTATGATAAATTATAGTTTTTAATTTGATAATTGAACTATTTATCGGAGTCCTCCATTTTTTAACAGTACTATGTACCATGATATATCTTACAAACAAACAAAAAATGGTACACTCGTTTTTGTTATTAGAATCACAACGAAATGTGGGAATACATCGAGACACTTATAATATATAATGTCACTTGATTTCTCAGAATAATCGTGAAAACACGTATATATACATATAATGTATTATTTACATTTACATATATTAAAACACTCGAAAGTCCTACACTTCGTATGTAGATAAATTTTCGATTCTGTAAGAACAGACATTGATAAAAACTGACTGATTTACGATAAGTTTTGTAGTCAATTTTCAACGAACAATATAAATGTGTAATTTCATAAAGTGTCATGTGTGTCCAAAAGTACATTTTAGTCTAGCGCAAGAACCAAAATAAGCACATTTTGACAAAACTCTATGTGTCTGTCTTTTTCATACATTTTTTCATTGATTTTAAATTATTATTCATTAAAATAGAAAATCTATACAGAATAGACCCAGTAACGGGGGAGAAATGTGCTGTTACGTGGGTGGCAGCTTTTTTCGACAATGTCTACAAAAATATTGTCAACAAAATACTCTCTTAAACGTTTTAATTAAAACTGATTAAAATAATAATGTGTGAATTTCATTACTATGATTTCCTTTGCTTCTCTTCTTTCTTTCCTTTTTTTTTTTTATTTTTTTATTTCACTCTATCGAAAGAACTTCCAAAATCATTTTTATGATTCCTTTATTGCGAATTTGACATCGATGTGTACAGTTAACTAATTTAAATTTACCGCGTAAATAACATTTAAATTCACCGCGTAAATAACTAATTTAAATTTACCGCGTAAATACAGCGCGCTCCCTCTAAGATGATAATAGTTATAATGCGTTAAAATCGTTTGATCAATATAGAGTATCGGTTATAAGCTCGAATTTGTTTTTCCATAACTTTTTTCGTTAAAAATTAGAATGAAAAAATAGTTTCAAAACGTTTAACAGTTTGTAAAAATTATACGAAAGCTGAAAAACGATATTGAAAATAAATGAAGGAAGGTAACGAACGAATGAAGTTAAAGGAATGAAGGCGGAATACTTAACTTCGACATATACTTCAATCAATAATTAATCATAAAATTGAATTCATTTAAATTATTAAAAAATGCCTATTATAATTATTAAAGATTATAAATGGCGTGAAACAGTAGATTACGTTATAGTATATGTGCCATTCAAGAGTCGTCCTAAAAAAATAGATTTTTTGGTGATCGATAATTATTTAAAGGTACGTTATTAGAGAGAAGGGTTTTGTTATAACATTTTTTTATTATATTTAATATCTATATTAATATCGTTAAAATATTATTTAATTCATGATATGTTCTAATAAATTATATATAAACTTTTAAAATATAAGTACATTGTATGTATGTGTGTATGTGTCAAAGTAAAAAAAGAGAGAGTAATTATAAAAAGTGCGTTTTCGTTTACCCGGGAAGAACTTTTCATATTTGCAATATTTCAGGCAAGTTGTCCGCCATTTTTATTAGAACTCTTTCTTTGGGCCAATATTATCGAGGAAGAAAGTACGTGTATATTAGACGAAGACAAGGTTATATTTTCTTTACGAAAAGCGAACGTCGCTTTAAAATGGCCTAAATTAGAATTGGACGATCTTGATAAAGATACTAAAAGAAATTATCGAAATAGAGCATTAGAACGTATTCAAAAAGTTACAGAAGAACGGCAAAAAGCTCAAAGCGGTTAGTTCGATCAGCTTTGTACAAATACAACAAATTTTATTTTCATAAATGAAATATTTGCGATCGAATAAAAATCAATTCTATTTCTTTTTTTTCTTTTTTTTTTTTTTTCTTCAGAGAAACGACAATATTTGAAAAAGGAAGCAGTAAAGGCACAAATAGATTTAGATACTGCAGTTTTGAATAAAATAAGTGCTATGAGAGATATCCATAGAAAAGAAGCTATGGAAGCTTTAGAAGATTGGAGATCCAAAGCCGAGTTACCGATTTTAAAATATGAACAAGGCATAACTCAAGAAAATCGTAAAGCGTATAAGTACGTTGCTTTATAATGTTTTTCTTCTTATATATAAATAATCTTCAATTTGCGAATGTGAAAGAACCTTTAAAGAAATAATATTAACGTGATAGTGAAAGTAATGATGTCATCGATATTTCGCATAAATCATTAACGACTGTTCGAAAATATTCTTCCTAGGAATAAAATGAAATAATTTTTCTTTTGTTACATTTATAATTTTTATTTTATTTTGTTTTATTTTATTTTATCTCATAGCCCCAAGATAATTTCATTAAAATGTATCAAATATGTTTAAATAAATAATATAAATATTTGAATATGAAGTGTCGTAAAATAATCTAAAGAGAATTATTTTTCAAGGCCACCGTTAAAATGGTTTAAAGATGACATCACCGGTATGATGAAGAACAGGCCAATGACCGATCAAGAAATTTTCGTTAATGACGCAAAGGGTTGCAGTGAAGGTAGAAATGATAGGGAATTAGAATGGAAGGAGACCGAGGGAAAAGAATTGTTTCATAAATACGAATTTCCAAGAAAAGAAGATGGATCGATCGAATCTAATGCAAAGTTAAACGATACGACGAACGAAAATGAATTAGATGTTATACAGGAAAGAAATATTTCGACGGATAGCGAATCGGATTCCGATCGTGATTCGTACGACAAATTAATTAAAGGCAAGATATTGCGTAAGCCGTCTTCTTCGAAAAATATTCGCACTCGTGGGCAAGAAATAATTGATAGAATATTGAGTGGAAAACTACGTAGATTGAACCAAATATTCGACGAACCTAACAAAGCTGTACCTTTACCAAGAAAAAATGGTACCATTAATATTACATTTTCTGAACGTACGTTTCCAACTCCAGCCAGAGAAAGTCATTTGATCGAAGAACAAGAAGTATGTTTTATTTTGTTTTATAACGATCACACTCACGATCAGTCGACCTTCAATGAATTAATGATAGTTAGAATGACGTTATTACTAACGATTTAATTTTAGTGGTTGGAGAAACAAGCAGAAGCAAGGAGAAAAACTGGTTTTGTAGCTGAAGATCTCAGACCAGAGGAACGAGACCCGCAATGGTTAAAGGATAAGGGAGAGTATGTTATGCACGCACTCACTTTTTTAATAATTTTTAATATATTTATATTTTACATAATAATCTTTTTAATCAGAGATAAAATATAAATATATATATATATATATATATATCTGTTTCAGTGAATTCTTCAAGGCTGGGAATTATTTGGGAGCTATTAGTGCTTATTCTCTCGGTATAAAAATTAGCGATAAAATGGCGTCTCTCTATGTTAACAGATCTGCGGCTCATTATGCTCTTGAAAATTATTATAGATGTACCGAAGATTGTAGCAAAGTAAGAGCTCACTTTGATACGTGCATTTAATGAAATTCACACGTAATGAAAAACTTACTATAATTAAAGAAATATATAATCAAAAGAGATTCGCATTGTTAATTTTTTTTTACTGTTTAATATAACGTAATATTATTTCGATGATTTTTATAGGCATTAGAACTCATGCAACCAAAATGCGAAGCTAATCGTGAATCAAGGGCCAGGTGTCACGCTCGGCAAGGTGCAGCTCTTTGTAAATTATCTGCGCCACAACACGGCATTCCTGAACTGGAAGCGGCAATAAAATTGGCACCGAATAATGAAAGCATTAAACGTGATCTATTGATTGCAAAACAATATTTTAATATCAAAGATTAAATAAAAACAAGTGAAAATCTAAAAAGAAAGGATTATAATAAAATGAAATAGTTGGTAATATTGAAAGTTATTATTTTAATATAAGATTTTAAAAAATATATATGAACGTTTACAGACCTTAATAGATAAAAATATCACAGACACAAATACCGTGGATATATAAATGGGCAGTAAGGAACTAGTTGTAAATATATATATATATATATATATATATATATATATATATATATAGCAATATTAAAATATAAATATATAATAATTATATAATATTATATTATAATATGTAAGTATGAACAATGAAATTATTTGTTTTAGTTAATTCGAAATATAAATGATAAATTTTGTTACAATAAATAAATAACTGTGTAAGTAATATTTTTTAGAGAATATAGTATCCACGATAAAAACAAGCGACTATATAATATGAATGATTACATGATACATATAAATTTGTATGTTTTTAAAGCAATTATCATCATTAATTGATGCACTGATAATGACACAAACATACGCACACGCACGCACATACATACATACATACACACATACACCCACACATAAATATATTCACACATCTGCATTATATTTATTATACTTTTACGAAAAAATTAGGTCATATTGATTTTGATCGTATTTATGCAAGCACATTTTGTATCTTCCAAAGCATGAATAACCTCATGGTGCCTGTCCCGTTGTCGATCTATGAGGTGTTTTACCATGAATACCAAACTAACGTTTCTAGTCTCGGTCGATGCACAGATCTGTTTGGGATCGGGACAACATCCGGACCCACCGCAACGTGCTAATACCGTTGAAGGAGGATAGAAAATTTCATCTGGACTGGGTCCGACTGTAAGAAGTTCTTCTATGGGAATTGCTCGTGGTTGTGGCAATGAACATCGAAATTGGTTTACCAATTGCACGTGATTTAGGTAGTCACTGTCTCTATAAACAAAAAAAAAAATATATAACAATGTCTATAATTTAGTTGAATTTCTAGGACGTATATATCATTTATTACGAGTTTTTACCTGTGATGTCTACCGGTGATCAAACAAACAAATAGAATGGCAACGAGAATCAAAACGATTCTTTTCATTGTTAAATATCACGGGACGAATTTGTCACAAAGTGATAATGAAAGAATTTTTTCCTGATATAAAACACAGCTTTTAATCAATCAAAGCGCTACTCTCAGATTAATCCTTTTAATCTTCAATCCTTGAGATTTTATAGATGCACAAGAAACGTGTTATCTCGATAGGCAACACTACGGTGTACTGTAACTTCTCTCTTCTGCGATCTGAATTCTTTCTCTTTTTCTTTCTCTCTCTCTCTCTCTCTTTCTTTTTCTCTCTCTCTCTCTATATATATATGTAACTTTCATCCTCGGCCCACTCTCCCCCTCTCTTTTCCAGATTTCTCTTCGCGCCCTCTCTTCCTCGATCTCTATCTCACTGTCTCGTTTTCTTCTGTGAATTTAACAGCTCGTCTATCTCCCTCTTGTTTCTTGGTAAGCACTGGGAGGGGTCGAGAACAAACCGTTCCGAGAACATCGCGAAGATAACTATAATTACAACTAGTGGGTCCTGCCTCCCGTTCGAAGTGAGACCACGTTGAGTCGCGTGACGTTATACCTTATTCTTTCTTCCTCCCCACACATCATTCTCTCCCTCTCTCTCTCTCTCCCCCTCTCTCTCTTCTATATTTCGGCATAACGTCACTTAACTCTCTTTCGATTTCACGAGCTTTTTTTTTTCTTCTTCTCTTTTGGAACATCATCTATGTTAGCCACTAAAATAATGCGATCTTTTAAAATAAAATCGCAAGGCTCATGCTAATCTATTATATCAATATTAATAGATTTAACAGAGGAAAAAGAAGATAAAGTATAATCGAGAGATAATAATATTGTGATAAATAATTAAAAATATTATTATCCGGAATATTATTATCCGTGGATTAATGAAAAACAATAGCCTAAGATTGATGCAATTCATTGTTGACGTACTACAATCGTTGGAATCAAAAGATTTCAATATTCTGTTATCTGTATTTACGTGTTTTCTTTTTGTATTATGTGTTACACTTTTATATATAGAAAAAAAAAAAATATATATATATATATACATTTTCTTCTTTCAATGTATAAATTTCATTCTTAAAGTGAAATACATCTTAATGTGAAAAATATAAGAACATTTTTTAATATTTTTTTTTTTTGTTAATCTAGAAACGAAGATATGATCAATGATAAGAACAAGATGATACTCGAAAAGACGTTATATCATTTAGAGTAGACAAGCATCAAATGCTTCTCATTGTGAGAAATGCGACAGGTTGCAGTGAGTCATCGTGTTCAGTGAACGTCTCCGGCATGTCTACTTGTTGTCAGAAAAGACATTCGTGGTCCTTTTATTCTTTCAAAGACACCGGAATCCGTGAAGCTGCCTTGGCATTCCTGTGGTATTCAAGAGGGGTGAGTAAAAAGATCTTATTCCTGCTACTTCACCTTAAAAATTGGTAATATGGTACGACTATGAGATGTCCACATTATTTTTCAACCTCTTCTGTATGAGCATATCCGTCTGTGCCACTTCACAGGACTGAGTCATCAAGGTAGATGATACTAGTGTGTAAGGCATTGAATATAAAATTAGACAATTGCGTTTGACCATGGATATTTTAGTTCACCTTAAAACCGTTTCAAATCGTGATTAGAAATTTAAACATTAATTTAAGATATAAGAAGTTATGATATTATACTTCCATGAAGTCTATTAAAAAAAAAAAAAAAAAAAAAAGAAAAAAAAAAAGAAAAAAAATCTTTCGTTTTTTTATCATTACAGCACAATCAATAATTACTTAAGGAAACGTTGCAAATAACATTTTCTTTATTTCCTCTTCAAATATCATTGCAGAAATGTAAGGTATAATTTTTTAAAAATACTATATGATATATGTCTTGTATAAATAAATTACACAAGTCTCGTACTATAATTTTACACTTGGAGTAGTGAGAAACCGGTACTATTAATGAGTCTGGTCAATCCTTTTACCGCAAGGGATATCCCCGTTACGTTTACGTCAGCAATACGTTATAGTATCGTGCATGAGTTAGCAAATACGGCTATTGTAATTAACGCATTGACATGCTATCTTTTTTATTAAGATATCTAAAGGTACATCCCGTTCAAATCAATATCGATAATGGTATTTTTATCAATTGCTTACTTCATTAATTGTACAATGTTGTATATTTGCATATAACGTTAAGGATTCTTCAATAATTACAAATTTTTTTACAACTCTATTGATTTCTTACAATTTACATTATTTCCATATAAATGAACAATCCATAAATTGTTAACGATCGTGTTAAAATTAATAAAATAAATTTTTAACAAATATAGAAAAGAATGGAGAGTAAAATAGTATCCGAGTATCTGTTAATCGAATTCATAAAAAATTAAATCTGTATTAAAAGATTTATAAATAAAGGTTAAACTATTTCAATTCTACCATAAGATATTTATATATATTTTTAAGAATTATGAGATCTTCGTCTTCTATCTTTAAGTCAAATTCTTTTTTGACATAGAACTATTTTATAGGATTTCTAATTTTATCATATCGGTATGCATATATGGCTATTTTTTCAAACTAAACGATCCTCACTTTCTTCAATAAAAAAGGCATAAAAAATCAAATTTATGTTAGAAGATTTTTATATAGAAGCTGAACTATTTCGATTCTACCATAAGATATATGTATTTTTAGCAAATACGAGATCTTCGTCTTTTTTCTTTCAGTCAAATTCTTTTTTGACACAGAACTATTTTATAAGATTTGTAATTTTATCATATTGGTATTCATATATGACTACTCTTTGAAATTAAACGATCCTCACTTTCTTCGTACAATTCCAGATGTCGATTTATTTATAATTATAAGGTCATGGAACTTGAATGCACGCGTTGTATCTTGATCTATTATAATTCTATGTAGCTAACGAGACGATTCGATACGTTTCGTGTTCTTTTTTTTCCTTTTTTTTTTTTTTTTACAATACTTCTACATTTGTATGTACATACGACAAACAATCCAAAAATTAATTCGAAAAATCTCTTAACAATTCGATCGATTTAATAGATTCACATCTTTTTCTGAGTTCTCTGTAGTTATAAAAAAAAAAAAAAAAAAAAAAAATAAGATAACGAATCGTAAACTAACTCACTGTATTTTTTTGTAATAGGTCATGCTTTTATTCTTTTCCTGATTAATTTATTGGAACTTTTTTTATAGATTTATTTAATCATGCTTCAATATGACGTACTTATTATTATGTAAAAAAATTTTTTTCCTCAAGATCTTCCTTACTCCCTAATATGTCATCTCATACGTATTTTTCTTATAATATTTAATATTTTCTATGAATTTCTATATATATATATAAACACAAGAGATGAGTCATGAAAATACTCGTGGTAACAACCGACTGTTGCCCGCAATTATATTTCATGTGGTTTGTTTCGATTAAAATTAATTTATGATTAAAAATACATAGACGCTCTTAAGCGATGAAAGAACGGTTGATGAATCATGACGATATAAATCTATATAAATCCTTTATTAAAATAAGGAAATTTCACTGATGTAACGAATATTAAGATGACCTTTAATAATCAACTCTTAGGTGTCTCTTATTAATAATTCATTTATCAGAAAGAAAATGTCATTACTTGGAAATACCATCAACTTATTTGCGTATATAATTTCTGAAAAAAAAAAAAAAAAAAAAAAGAAAAAAAACCAAGAATCTCGAGATATTTAATAAAATCCTTCCTCTTAATTAGAATAGAGGAAAAAGAGTTACAGAAATAACACGTTTTCTTCAAAATCGACGATTAAGGAAGTAAGGGAAGTTGAAATATTGGTATGGTGTTTTTATGGGCAATCAGAAAAAGAATTTCGCAATTGATTTATTCGTTAAGAAAATCGACACTCTTACGTAGAACGTTATTCCACGCGATGGTACACGTTCATCGACCACCGACCACGCGTGCAACCTCCCTGCCATGTATAAATACTCCTCTGCTAGCAGGCGAATCTCAGTCAGTCAAGAATGCGTCCAACGACGTTTTCTTCGGGATAAGAACATTTTCTTTCATTTAAGTTCCCGTTGTTTCTATCAATATTGGATGAGTTTTGTCACTGAATGTTCTCCCGCATGGACGAAAATTTTTATCGCCGTTTTAATAAGTACCAGGATAGTGAGAGAACGATTGAATAATAGCCAGTGGGTGATTACGAAGATATATTGGATAGTAACTGACAAGAAGAGACATTAAGAAGAAAAAAAAAATGTTAATACGACCGATTAAATACGACTCTTGCCTTAGGCTATTCATCTTGATCACACCGATATTGAATAATATGATTCAATCGATGGCGATTAATAATAAAAATCATTATCATCGTACACCTAAGAGATTGAATTTTTCTCGTTCGTTAGAACCATCGGAAAATTTTCTTTGCGGAGAACCACAATCCCGCTCTTATAATTTAAGAGATCTTATGCGGACTGTTCATACAAATTTCGAGATCGTCAATTTTCCACTTTACATTGTTTCGAAGCGGTGCGATGTACATTCCGGATGTTGCAAGAGTTTCAATATGAGCTGTACACCGGTCCAATCGGCGATCTATCATGACGAAATGGAGATCGAGATTGAGAGTCTCCAAACGAATGGTACCAGGAAACAATGGATACAAATTGAACAGCACGGTGAATGTATCTGCGCGATTACCAGCCCTGATCAACGGAATTATTCAACACCGAACATCAAGATGTTATGATCGATAAATGTCGTTAGGTCGTTGCGAATAAAAAGAAAGATAAGAAAACAACAAAAAGAATGAAAAAATATCGACAATGTAAGTAAGCGGATCTTGGGGATAATATTGCTTACAGCATACATTTATGAGAGCAATATAAGGAACGTATTTCTCATTGATGTTTCTTATCGATCTTTTTTTTTATATATATTGATTGTTTTATCACTTAAAACATTCCAAGAGTAAATCAATACCGTTTGAAATGTTCGAAGATGTTTGATGCGAACGTTAACAGCGCGATGCACAAAGATTGGCTCGTAGCCCAGTATCGTCTATATAGCGGTGTCTCTTTCTGGAACCAAAATGCCAATGAATCGGCACCTGCTCTTCGAATTGCTTTTGCCAAAATCAAAATCTTCTTAAGAAAACGAAAAAACAAAGAAGATTTAATTTATATATAATATCTATATATATATATAAACACATATATATGTATATTTATTATTATTATTATTATTATTATTATTATTATTATTATTATTATTATTATTATTATTATTATTATTATTAGTATAAAAACACATATATAAAAAAACTCGCTTATTCGCAGAACTGATAAAATTTTCTACAAAAGAAAGTAAATACGCTTCGTTTTATTGTGATATTACGTAGGTGCCATTAATTATATGTACTTAATTTATATGTACTTAATTTATTGATATTTATAATCTCATTCTTTTTCTATCTATCGTATAATGATGTCATTTTCATTCAAAGAGGTTTAGATAAATATTAACTCTAACATTATATTAACTTTTAGATCAAAGCTTCACTACATTGTTATTTTTAGAAAACAATACGTTTTGTAAATATTAACATAGTAGTATTATTTACTGATTTAAATTAACGAACATATTCGCAATACGAATTGTTCGAGTAAGAGACTGAAATGCCCGTATATAAACTGACTTTATTTTATTTCGGGGAAGACCATTAACAGATATTTCATTGATACTAGATGAAATTAATATCGAATTTAATGAAAACATAAATTCTGCAGAACATTACAAACATTGTAGTACGATGTGTTCATCATGCTATGCGATATTGATATATTACATACTGATGATATAGAACTAATGACGTAGGTACGTATTGTATATAAGACAAAATTATTTTTGGATAGTTCAATACATATATATATATATATATGTCAGCGCACAAAATGCAAATTTATTTGCTTATGTGACCAATATTCTTTAGAAAGAAAAGTGTGCTCTATATTTTCTTAAGACAAATTTTAATAATACGTTTAATATGTAAATGAAAATAAGATAAATCTTATTTAATTATATTTATTGAAAATATTTTAAATAATTGTGAATGATAATAAAATAATAGTATTATATTAAACACACACATAAACAGAATATTAATAAATTGTATACACGCTTGTTTTCCTATAACGGAATACGTAAGCTAATTTATTTATTTATACATTTGGATAAAATGACAAATACTGCCACAAAAGTAAAAGAATTACAATTTTTTTTTTACATCAGCACACAATAATCTTTTACAGTTTTCTTTTTTTTTTTTTTTTTAATGAAATACACACTTATAACAAATAACTTTAAAGAGAAATATCGACAAAGAGAAGGAAAGCAATAAAGAAATTATTTGTATAAATAATGATCGATTTTGTTACCATTTGGATGATTTAAACAAATTGTGAACAGATTTATATGTTAACAAAATGCACGGATAAATTAGGTACTTTTAATTACTAATCATATCTTCTATACTTGGAAACAAAACGATTGTAATGGAATGTCATTTAACATATTTTCATTATTAAAAATATAAACACAAATCGAGTTATGTATGCAGTCATGTCATCGCGATATGTAGTAATATATGAAAAGAATGACCATAGAATTCGCTATCTTTAAAATGATAGTAACATTATTGTTATATAGTAAATATGTCATTTTATATTTGTACAATGCTTTAATACCCTAATCTTATGAAATATATATTTTCATAAACATTTTCTGCGAAGATGTACTGTTGCTTAATTCTTTAAAGTTCACTTATATTTCTTGTATTCAATAACTAGATAAGATATCTTATAAGCACTTCTTAAAATTAATACTTTACATTCAAAGGATGTAAAAAGAGAATGTATGTTTATATCTGACTTATATAGTAAAGTTAAAAGCGCGCGTATGGATACTTACCACGCATTGATCTACGTCCTCTAGTACCTCGACCTCTTCCACCTTCATTATTCGTTCCTCGTGTTGCATGTCCACGCATTACATTTTGTCCTGAGAGAGAGAGAGAGAGAGAGAGAGAGAGAGAGAGAGAGAGAGAGAGAGAGAGAGAGAGAGAGAGAGAGAAAGAGAGAGAGAGAGAGAGAGAGAGAGAGAGAGAAAGAGAGAAACAAAAGATAAGTCACGAAGATAAAAGAGAAAGTATTATTATACAAAATAAATAAATATATGATCACCTCTCCCAGATTGACTTTCCCAGACAATAGGCGTCGGTCTTGCTCCGCGAGCACGAAACGGAGATCGTGCTGATCTTCGAAGTGGTGTACCTCTGTTACCATTAGCCGTTGCAGCTGCAGCTGCTGCAGCAGCTGCCATTGTTCGTTGACGAGTATTACTAGAAGGAGATGCTTCCGCTTCTCTACTTTCTTCCTCGGTATCGTCTTCAACTATGTCACTTCCAGGTTCTTCCACTCCTTCTCCCGTGTCAACGGCATCGTCATCACCGGGCACTAAAGATCCAGCTTCTTCTGTCCGCTTTTCACCTTCTGAACTCACTCCTACAATTAATCAATCAATGTGATTTGCAATTAATGAAAAATAATTTCTTATCGGAATGATTAGATATTGATCTTACCTTCAGTTGGCATTGTACTCGATTCTGTGATAGCTTCCGTTTGACCCTGTTGTTGTTGTTGATCCGCACTAACTACACGGATACTCGGAATAGTGGATTCCTCGTTAGTGTCGGTCACGGATGCACCTATTACCGGTACTGTTGTCACAGAAACGGGAGTTTCTTGTTCTTCCGATGGTCCACTACTAGTCTAAAAATAAAAAAATTATTATTGTATAAGAATAATGTGCGTGAATATGCATATTATGTATTTCATTTCTTACAGATGGTGGTAAATCTGCAGCTGGTGAAACCTGTAAAGGAGTAGTAGGTACGCTACGTCCAGTACCGCCATCTTCTAATTGAACAAGATCTATCCTACTATCATCTATGCTTTCTTGTACTACTTGAGCCGCTCCTGAACTTAATGAGCCAAATATTGTTCGAGTAACAGTTCCTGTAGTAGTTGTTAACGAAGGTGTCGAAGAAGCTGTACCGGATGCTGACGAGTCTCCAAAAGTAAATCGTGCTTGAGGTACTTGAGGTGAACTCACAGCTTCTCCAAATCCGTCACCCCGTCGAGGAACAAACAGTGTGGGCGTACTGGGTACTATACTATCGTCACCTCCATCTTCGTATCCTTGTTGTGGCTACAATATCAAGATTTATATTTAATTAATCATAATATATTAATAATATAAAAGTTATTTCTTTAAAACTAACATATACATATAAACGGAGAGACTAACCAAAAGCAAATGTTGTTGTTGCTGTTGTCGAGGCATCGGTGCAATACCACGTGACGAACGTGACGTAAAGGAAGTTGGTGGTTCGCCGGTTTGTCCGGCACTACTAATCGCTTCTGATTGTTGTTGTTGTTGATTTACAGGTATCGTCGCTTGAGCCTGTCTCGGAACCTCTGCGCTAGCTGAATCTTCTTCCATTATAATTTCAACTTCATTGTTATCTCTTTCTACCTCTGCTTCAACTTCATAGGGCATTTCATCTTCCTCTTCCATTTCTTCATACGGATCATTATCGAATTCTTCTTCTTCTTGCGCTTGATTATTTCCACCTCCTTCCCCCTCGTCACAATCTACTATTACTACACACCCTTCCTCAACCTCTTCATCTTGATCACGTTGACTAGAGGTAGGTACCTACAAATATAACGAATTTTATATATACATTTGTTTATATTATTTTTTTTCGAGTATCATTCAAAACTTGCCTGATATTCTATTTCTGAAATACTAGCACTTGCTGATGACCCTAACTCTTGTTGTCTACTCCTCTTGGTTTTTGGACTAAGTACTTGTTCTTGCCTACTGTGATCTTCTATTATTCCTGATCCGGTTGCAGTGGAATCAAGTGTCCTGGGACGTTTATGACCGGTAGACGCTTGGGATGTGCTAACTGATTGCGTAGAACTACTAGCCACTGTTTGCTGTTGATCGCTGGCTACTGCTTGTTGTTGTTGTTGCTGTTGTTCAACTCGCGGACTAACTAATGCCACGGTTTGTTGTTGCTGCTGTTGCTGTTGTTGTTGCTGACATTGTTGTTGTTGTACATTTAAAGTTTCAGCACTCTCTGCGTCTTCTCTTTGAGTCGATTCGGCAGATTCGCTCAACTGTGGTTGAACGACAAGCTGACGCAATGTACTTGGTGCAGTCTGTGAAGAGCTGCTTGTGCTAGCTGGTTGGAAATCAGTTAGGCTACTTGTGGGAGAACTTGTCTCAGTTGTATGGACTATTTGTTGTTGGGGTTGTTGCTGTTGATGTGGAGCAACCATAACGGGTGCAGTTGCAGTCGTTGGTAACACGGCTGCTGTTCTAGATTGAACCACTACACTCATTGGTCTAATGCTTGCCAGAGGGGTTTCTGCACGAGCTGACATAGGTTTAATATTAGCAGTAGGAGGTTCAGTCGTTGCACTAACCCCGCTAACTCCTGTTAATTGTCTCTGCAATTGTGTAATACGTTGTAATAGAGCTTCCTTTTCCGCTTGAATTTCCGTCTTCTCGTGTTCTAAGCGAGATATCCTTCCTTCCATTTGAGATTTCAATGCAGCAAGTCTAGCGTCATGTTCCGACGTATCCGAATCATTTGATCCAGATTCTACCTTTGCTTTCAAATCAAGTAATTCTTTTTCACACATTTTCTTTGATTCCGTAAGCTGCATGATCTTTGTTCTGGCACCTTTTAGTACTTGTTTAGCGCGCTCTTCCTTTTCTACACTAGTCTTATTCATCGTATCTATCTCTTTCTTGAGGGTTTCTGCTTCACTTTGAACAACTGTCATCTGACGAGTCAACTCATCGATCTTCGTTGTTAATTCAACATTCACCTGGCGTAATTCTTGTCGGCCCTCTTCTCGTAATTGGTCTTCGCGTTCCTGTGTTACCTGTCCAGCATCTTCATTACCAGTATTAGCGGAAGACATTCGCGATTCTTCCGATCTGTTTTTTTCTTCTTCAACTGTTTTAGCTAGTTCCTCAAATTGAGTTTTATATTTTTTAGCGATCTTTCTTATTTGAATTTCCTTATTCTTAATATCGTTCAAAACCACCTCCTTATCGCCAAGTTCTTTCTTTAAAGTCGCTAGATCTTTAGCTTTCGAAGAAGAATCCGCAAGTGCTTCGTTTAAATCTTGACCCAATTTGCGTGCATCCTCTGAAATTTTGGAAACTTGTTCCCCTTGTACCTGCACCTGTTTCTGAAGTTGAGACAATTGTTCTTCTAATTTTGTTTTCTCTATTTTCAATTGATTTAATTCTTCTGTACGTTTAGCATGTGTTTCGCGTTCAGAAGTAAGTAATTTACTTAGACTTTCACGTTCAGTTTGTAATCTACGCCAATCCTCAGGACTAGCTTTGTTAGCTCTTTCTACTAATGCGTTAGCTCTTTGTCTCCATCTCGTAGCTTCTCCTTTAAGCCCAGTATTTTCTTGTACTAATGCCTCATTCTTCGCTGTCAAATCTCTTGATGTATCACGAAGTGGCACTAACTCTTCAGAAAGTACAGTTACCTTTGACATTAGTTCCGTGACCTTTGCTGTCAAACTATCTCTTTCTTCTCTCAAAATTCTATTAGAATCAGTTATAGCATTTAATGTTTCAATTTTGCGTAATAATTCGGCATGTTTAGACGTAGTTACCACATTAATTTCTGATTTTTCTCTTTCGGAATTAAGAACAGTTTCAGTCTCTTTCAATCGTTTCTCTGCCACATCTACTTGAGATTTTAGTCTCAAATTTTCTGCCCTGAGAACGTCGAATTTAGCTACGGCTAAATCTTTCTCGCGTCTCAAATATTTCATAACTTTAAGCAATTGTTCAGCAGATTTAGAATCTTCGTCCATAATACTGAAACTACGATTCATTGCCTCAATACTAGTATCAGGACTCTCTCGACCACTTCCCTTTGCTTGTTGACTTTGCATAATAGCTGTTTTGTCGCTTAACTCTTGAATCTGATCGTGTAACAGAGAATTTTGTGTATCCAGGTCTTCGATCCTTTTTAGAGTTTCTTGAACCTCATCAAGCAACTTTTTCTCTCTCTCCTTAAATCCAGATCTTTCCAATTCTAAAGCTTCAACAGCTGCATTTCTTTCTTGTGTCAATGTTGCCATTTTCTGATCTACATTTTGTACTTCCTCTTTTAATTTTGCTAATGCCTGTAAATCCACCGAATGCAAAACCATTTCTCTTGCATATTTTTCTTCAGTTTCTAATGCTGTCGTAGAAGCATTCTGTAAATCACTTTTAACAAGCTCTAATTCTCCTTTGACTTCGTCAAGTTCTTCAAGTTTCCTTTCAGCCTCTGCGAGCTTTTGTCGCAACTCGGAATCAGTTTCTTGACGACCACTTGATATCTTTGCTAGTTCATCTCCCAATTCTTTAACTCGTTTTTGAAGTGACATAACTTCAACTCTAGATTGTTTTAGTGCATTTTCTAATTCTTCTTTACATTTATTATGTTGTTCTGTTAATTCTCTAAGCTGTGACTCTGCACTTTCAGCGATATCACAATATTGCTGACCCTGTTGACGCGAAGTTCTTAATTGCTCCGTTAGAGATTTTACTTCTGCCTGATTATTAGCTAATTGCATTTCTAACTCCTTCAATCTTTTTCCCATATTTTCATCGCTAGTAAAAGGTTTCGATATTGAATGAGCAACTGTCTCTCTTAATTTCGTATTGACTTCCTCAAGTTTTTGAGCAGTTTCTGTTTCTGCCTTGCGAGCTTGTTCTAATTCTGAACGAATTCGTTCTGTTATTTCTCTTTCCTCTATCAGACGTTCCTGTGCTGTAGTATATTGTTTTTCTAAATGCGATGAAAGTTCTCTAAATCGATCCTGTTCTTCTTGCAGACGTCGTCTTAAAGCAGCACATTCTCTCGTTGCATCATCCAACCGTTGTTCGGCACGTAATTGATTTTCCGCTTGAACACGTTCCAAACAAGCTTTAATTGATTCTACATCTGCTCTTAATAAAGCTTGCGTTTGTCTTTCTCTTTGGAATATTTCTCGTTCCTTCAAAAGACGCCCTTCAGAGTCACGCAATAATTGCCTTTCTTGACGTAGATTTTCTAATTGAACCTCAGCACGAGACAAATGAGTTTGAGCAGAAAGAGCTTCATCCTTTAATATCATTATACTTTGTTCGTGTTTGCCAATAGTAATATTATAATTACAACATTTCTCTTCTAATGCTTTTATTTGTGATTTATAAGATGCAACATTCGCTTGTAGAAGTTGGAAACGCTCGTTTGCAGAATCCAATTGAGCTTTTAATCTGCAACAACGAGCAGAACTTGCGTCTGCCTCTTTTCTATGTCTCTCAACTTCTTCACCCAACATTCGTTCATGCGCTATCTTTTCTTTTCTGTATATTTCAAATTCGTCCGTAATCTGTTTTAATTTACTCTCAATTTCATTATATTTTCGTTCCCATTCTTTTTCTTTTTCATTATCTACTGAAGCTTTAGATTTATCATTGTCATTTAAGCTTTCTATTGCGCTTGTATTTAATTCTTTATTTTCTTCATTAGGAAGTTCTTTCATTTCTGTTGTAGTAGATTGTTTCAAACATTGTTGATACATATTTTTATACATATCACGTTGCCTTAGCAAACCTTCCAACATTTTAGCTTGCCTATCTTGAGCTGCTTGCATATCTGCCAATTGTTCCAAGTACCTAATATATAGATGTTACAAATTAATGTTTTACTCTAATTTATTTTTAATATTATTAACATATTATTAATATTTAAAAAATATACAAACCTATCTAATTTCTCTTTCATTTCACCAGAATTAATCTCATCCGTAGCCCTTTCCATTTCTTCTTGTCTCGATGATAATGTACGTACGATAGATAATAATTTTTGATTATTTTCTTGTAATTCTTCAATATCTTTAAATGTTACAAGCTTTTTAGTAATGATTTGTGATGAGGCCAAATCATCTGTATTCATAGTTGAAAATTCATTTGTATGTATACTATTACCAACTCTATTTTCTTGAACTTCCTTAAGGAGGAAGCATACCTAGTAAAAAAACAAGAAAACAATAAACATGTAAATAATTTAATGACACATTGTCGTTATATATCTTCACTTATTTCTATTTTTTCTTACTTCAATAATAAATGGATATATAAATATATACCTGTCTAGCTAAATCAGCAAGTTCTGATTTTAATCTTTGATTTTCTTTAGTATGATGTTTGGCTATACGATTAGCTTCATCCGCAGTTTCCTGCAGACGATGATTTTCTCCAAGAAGTTCATCTAATCGTGCTGTCAATGTAGTAACATGATTTGTGGCAGTTTCATAATCTTCACGCTGTTGCTGTAATACAGGTGCTTTATCTTCAAGTTCACGTAGAATAACATCCATTTGTGATTTCAAACGTTCATTTTCTTCGCGTTCCGTTGTCAATTCATTAGTTGCTTCAACTAATTGTGTATAAATTTGTGTAAGACTTAATCCTTTCTTTAAAATTCTACTAGCTATAGCTGCTGTTGGTGCCAATTGTTCAACGGCTTGATCTAATCTTTCTGTAATCAAATAAAAATATTATTTTATATTCATACGATTAGATGCTTGTATATTTATATCTTACCTTGCTTAATATTTTTCAATAATTCGTTCGCATTTTCTAATTCTTTAGTAAGTTCAATAATTTGTTGTTCTTTTTCCTGAAGATCTTGATTGTGTTGCAACTGAAGTTGATTATGTTTTGTTTCTAATTGACCAAACTGTTCAGTAGCATGTTCTAACAATTCCTGAAGTTCTTTAACAGCATTTATAAATTCTTCAGCTTTTGCATTTGCTTCATCTGCCATTCCTTTATAAAGATCTGCCAATCTAGTTTGAGCTCCAATTTCTTCCCGGTATGAAGAGTGCATAGATATTTCGTGTGTTCGTTGTTCTTCCAATTTTTGAGAGAGGTCTTCACAACGTCGTTGCAGTGACGAATAAGATTCACGCAATTGTGCTGATGATTCATTAGCAATTCGCAACTCTTCATCACGTTGTGATAAACGAGTATCGGTTAGAAGCGCTCGTGCCGATGCTTCAGCTCTAGTTGCTTGTAATTCTGACGTTCTTTTGCTTAATTCTTCTTCTAAACCAACTATTTGTTGAGAAAGAAGCGTTCTCTCTTGTTCCAAACGTTTTTCTCTGTATAATAAGATATATATATATATATAGGTTTAAATTATTAAATTATTAAATTCTAAATAATTGTATTGTTAAAAATACTAACTTAAAATCCAAAGTCATGTCACGGCTACGGACTTCTTCTGCTTCTGCAAGAGCTTGACATTTAGCAGCAACAGCAGTTTGTAATTGAGTTCCAAGCGAAGATAATTCAGTACGCATTCTTTCAACTTCAAAATCTCTTCGTTCCACTTGTAATTGCAACGTATCCCTCTCATCCACAGCAGTATCCCTTTGTTTCCGTAAATCGCCATTTTCTTTTTCTAACCTATAGAAAAAAAGTATAAGTATTATATTTCAATTATCACTTAGAAATATATCTAAAGCTTTAATAAATTTAAAATTAAAAGCTTAAATTAATTTTAATTAATACTTAGGCAATAAATTACCTTTTAACGGATTCTTGTAATTTTTGTACTTCACTCTTTACCTCATCTAAGTTAATTTGTAACTCAGTACTATATTTTGCTGCCAATTCTAATTTTCCATTACATTCATCAAAATTTGATTTTGTATCTGCTAATTCTTTTTGGACATTTTCTAAACTTTGTTCTGCAAAAAAAAATTTCTAAGTATTAAATTGAACGATCGTTAAATTAATACAATAAAATGAAATACCAGTAATAAGTATATACGTACCAAGATTTTTGCGATTACTTTCAAAAACCGCTTTGGCGGTTATGAATTCCTCAAATTTCGTGTTAAAATAAACACCGAGTTTTTTCTTAATTACCTCGGGTACTTGCGTCAATTCTTCTTCATTTAGAACTTCATGAAGCACGTTGTGTTCATTTTCATCTCCCGTCTCCATCTTTTCAACACTACGTGAAAAATTGACAATACACTAATTCCTTTTACAATTATATAACGCTATTCTTTTTTTTTTTTTTTTTTAGTTTATAGCCAAAAACCGTAGCTACAATCGATCTCAATCATCAAAACAACAAATATTTACCACATTGCTAACATACATCAGCGCAATTATACTATACGATATGAACCACGGTAAAAATACCGGTTCTATAATCCTTATAGAATTGACGCTCTTTCTGATTTTATAAGAGTATATTATTCCGACGCTCTAACTGTGTGTACAGTTGTGTCTAGATATTTGTCCAGTTGTACTCTACCTCTCTAGACTGTACTCTGTCTCCGTAACCAATGATAATTCTTCTTACTAATTAAATTTAGACAAATATTTTGTTATGAACAAAGAATTAAATTCGTTTAAATATGAATAAATAATGAACTTCATGTATATCATACATTATTTTTATAAATTGCATGTATTTGATACCGTATTTTACTACATTATTATCATTCATTTTATTTTATATCAATATAATATGATTAATGAAAACGTGCAATAGAATCGATAAGTATCGAACAGCTTTTATCGAATATAGTTTAAAAGCTATATTACATGTTGAAATTGGGCAAGTATTATAGTTTTTAAAAATATATAAATTTTATATATAATAGTTGAACTATTGTAGTGTACAAAATTCTTTTATTTATTCTTGCAAGAATGAATATTTAATAATGATTTCTACAAGAATAAACACATTGCCGATAAAGACTATTTTAGGTTATGTTAATAATAATAATAACCGCTATAAGTGGAAAAAGTTAAAAATTTACTCATATAATTTTCGGACTTACTATAGAAATAACAATGTAAATGGCATATTTTGTAGTAAAATAAAATTACAACATGAAAGTTGTATTCCCACATTATTAGATAGAAAATTTTGCACAAGAAGTGAACCAAAGGAAGAGGATGTTTTTGGTGATATAGGATATAATAAATATGATAAAGTGGAAATGGATAAAGAAGAAGAAGAGGAAGAAAAATTTCAAGATAATATAGCTAGAATACCACGTAGATTAAAACTAAGTATTGGTCAATATGCTCAGAAAATAAAGTCTTATATTTCAAATGGAGATTTATCGTCTGCCTTAAATGTACTCACATTAGTGAGAGAAAATCGAGATAAACCTACCAATTTCATGTATAATCTTCTTATACGTGCTTATGCTTTACAAGGAGATATAAAGCAATGTTTTAGTCTTTACAACAAAATGAAGAAAGATCAGTTGAAGCCCACAGATGCAACATATACTAGTTTATTTAATGCTTGTGCAGAATCAAATAATAAATCCTTAGCCTTAGAACAATTAAACAAATTACGCTTTAATTTATATGAAACAGGATATCTATTAAATGAAACACATTATAATACATTAGTGAAGGTCTATAGTCGGCATAACTGTATTATTGAAGCTTTTGAAGTAGTAGATGAAATGAGAGATAAACGAGTACCTATAAAAGAAGTAACATATAATTCTTTATTAAATGCAGCAATATCTGATAAAGAAGCAGGAATGAGGCATGCTTTGATCATATGGCATCTCATGAAAAAGTATAGAATAAAACCAAGTCTAATTACATACAATCTATTATTTAGAGCTATGAGAGATACAAAGTTTGGTAATTACAAAATTAATGACGTACTAATGCCAGAATTAATAAATACAAAATTAAATATTTCTGAAGGAACCAGACCAAATTTGCTAAGTAGACCTCCTGTTATCAATACATTACCCATACCTATAGTAATAAAAAATAAAAATGTAGAATGTGTATTATCACCGGACACATACTTAAATGATATTTTTGAAAATAATCGTTTTATCTTATTTGGTGGCTTTGAAAACATAATACGAATTATGGAAGAAGATAATGTCACACCAAACGAAGTAACAGCTACTTTATTACTGGATTTAATTCCAAATACAGTGGATGCTGAAAATTCATTTCTTCAATATATAGAAAGTAAAAAAATTACATTGGATATTGACTTTTATAATATGCTTATTAAAAGAAGGAGTCTAAGAAAGGAATATGGTTTGGCAAAAGTAAATATAAAATAAGATATATTACTGTTTGTTTTTGAATATTCATCAATGTAATAGATATAAAAAAGCTTATAATAAAAAATAATTGTTTTCTTGTAGAAAATCTTGGAAGAGATTCAACGCAAGCATATGATTCCAAACATAATGACATTTGGAGTTTTAGCAATGGGATGTTTTCAAAGTAAACAAGCTTATGAATTAATAGAAGGATTGGAAATTGCTGGATATATTCCAAATATAGTAATTCTTGGAACATTTATATCTAATGCATGTCGTACGTTAAATACCAACTATGTAATAGAAATGATATATTACATGAGGTCCAATAGAATTAAACCGAATGAAAAAATTCTTACGTATTTGAATAAATATGAAGAAACATTAACAAAAATGCATTTATCCAAGGTAATATTTATATAACTGTATTAATGCAACATATTACAATTACGTTAATAATACTAAAAAAGTTTTTCTTTTTTATATATATTATTACAGAAATATAAATTCAAGAAACAAATGATACTGAAAAGGGAATTAGACAACTTTATAACAGAATATTCTGCATGGAAATATCAACCAAATGATGAATGTGTAATTAAATAAAATCAAATTTTACAAAATATATACAGATATATAATTTAATGCATCCTCAAATATATTTAATATTCGTGGAACAGTTGTGACTTAGTCTTCAAAAAATATAATGTAAACTTATATTAAAAGTTAAAAACAAAATATGTAAATAAATTTATTATTATTTAAAATCATAATATGTATTTAATAACTGGAAAAAATTATCGGAGATAAGGGGGTCGTGTTTCTGGTACCCATGGACGACTTCTTGCTCCAGTATTTACCACACGAGACGGGCACGTTCCACGAATACTAAGTTTATTGTAGCCAGTTGGTCCTGTAGGTTGTGCTCCACATGTTTCTAATGCCACAAAATCATCTACATGTAAGGATGGAGGTCTTGATGTATTTGGCGGCCGTGAACGGAATGGATCTGCACCTCTTCCTATACTTCCGACAGTAAGACCACCTCTTAAAGAATTTGTAAACTGTGTTCTACCTCTCATAGGAGCTACTGTAATAAACATTAAATAATGAAAAAAACGTTATTACCTACTATAGTATGCAGAAGCAATGATTATATTAAAATTTTTTTTTTTTTGTACATTCTTTATAATAAAACAATAAATATATCTCACCAAATGGTTGCTTCATTTTCGTAATAGGGGAAGAAGGTATTTGTTTTTGAATATCTCTATTTTCCTGATCATCGGGTTGAGTTTTGGTTTGTAATGGTTGTGTTGCATCATCGGGTGGTGCTTTAGAAGATAAATTCTGTGCTTCTGATAGCAGATTAAAATCAGTAGGAAGTAATTCAGCTGCAAGAGCTATTAAATCTACCGTTGTTTCGTTTTGTGTTTGATTTGAAGTGATAAATGGAGATTTCTTTGAGCGTCTAGGAATGCATACAGATGTTCTTAAACATCGTTGTGAAAACTGACTTAGCAAGGCTTCCGGAGTAGGTAATAATGGTTCTAACATTTCAGGTAATGGTTCCTTTTCTTCTTTATCTTCAGCAAATTTTAAAGTATTTACTAATTCTTGTGCACCTTGTATTTTCTCTAAAGGATGTCCCGCTTTATCCCAGGATATCAAAGTTGCTAATTGTTGTGCACGCAGATATAATGATCTCTTTTGTATATCACTGGCAATCATATTCTCTAAAAACTTTATTGTTAAATTCGCAATAAGTTTTGTATCTGTATCTTCTAGATTTGAAATATGTTCTAATAATGATCTTAATGCATCAGGATTGTTTTCTAAACAGCTTTTTACATGATACAAGCCATAATTATGACTAGTAAGAGATAGAAGTATGTGCAAAGTATTTTCTAATATATCTGACTGAAATTTAGTGCTAGTTGCTAGAATTTCAATTAATATAGTAAGAATTGATAAAAGTGGTTCTTTACTTGGTACCGAATGTGTTAATCTCTTTTCAAATGGTTCATTAGTATCTTCTTGAACAAGGCTTAGCGTACAATCACATAATGTCTCAAAAATATCAAGAATTTCTTGTTGAACTCGAACATCGCTAGTAGTCCTAAGTGTTGCACACATCATTTCAATAACTGGAGGATATTTTTGATCAGATTTTACTTGTGCTCTTGATGCTGGACTGGTCAGAGTTAACAATGTGGCTTTCATAGGAGCATGCCTTGCTAAGTCACTAAGTAAGGCAAGTATTAAAACATTATTTTCCAGTGGCACTGCAGCTATAATACCATCTAATAAACATCTACCTACTAACAATGCAGTAGGTGCTGCTAAATCACTCAATTGTTTACATACTGTGGAAAGAAGTACTAATAAATCTTTATTCCAACTGGCACAAAGTAGTCTTAAGGTTTCTGTAAGATTATTAGCTTGTGCTTGAAGATGTGCGGACCATAACTTTCTTACACCAAGTATACGTGCTGTATCATCGGTTATAGCTTCCTTTGCAGTTAGTAATGGCGGAAGTATACGCGATAAAAGTTTCAAGCCAGGAATAAAATTGCATGGTCTGAGAGAAACCATTTTTAGAACCTCACCTAACATTTTAGTCCATAAAGATTTGGCTACATTTCCAGATCCATCTGAATCTACCGCTTGTGTAAATACCAAAAGCGTTCCTACAATCTCATCGGAAAGACTTTTAACCGATCTAGTAGAAGGAATAGCTTCAACCAATGAGTAGACACCAAGCAAAGGCACAACAGCAGTTAAATCTTTAAAGTCAGTTGCCATGCATTTGACTAATCGCTCTAACAGTGCCCTAGTCAGTCTAACACACGGAAGAAGTAGTGCAACTAATGCTAATCCTCTTCGTCCAGTCAAAGCAGCACGATGTAAAAATGGCTGTTCATAAAATCCAGAAATATTTGACATAACGGCAACAAGCGCTGTTAACCCATCGGCAGCAAATAATTGTGTTAAAGCATTTCTATACTTTAATTCGACATATGGTTCCATAGGATCTATGTCATTATTTGAAGGAAAAATTAAATAGTGCAGAATTCTGCACGCTGTAATTAACTGACCTGGTAAGGATGCTGCTTTTTCTGCACTTTTTCTAATGCATGCTACAAGTGAAGAAACGTCGCCATAATTCCAATTAGATAATTGAGCAGCAGTTGTTAAATATGATGTTACATCTCTTAAAACAGCTTGATTTCTTGATTTTTCAAGAATAATACCAGCACGATTTTGAAAAATTTCTACATGATCAGAATAACGTATAGTAACTGATATTATCTCTGCAGCAAATTCACAAAGATTAGCATCAGAAAGATAAGGGATTAAAATATCTATAAATTCACCCATAGGAAGGACCGTTATTACAGCTTGTAATCCTTCAGAATATATAAGGAAAGAATGGAGCTTTTTTAAAGCCACCCAGTCAGAAGTATCATATTTTAAACGAGTTAAACATTGTACAACTTGAAGTCGCCATGCTATAATGGATCCTACACTTACTGAATCATATCTTAAAGCTTTTAATATAAATTTAGTTATTTCTGGTTGTTTCAATAAATAAAATAAACCCTCTTTTGTATCTGAAAGACGCAAAAGGAAACGATGTGTCGCTTTAATTAAATCAGTTTCTGACTCTGGCGAAGATAGAGCTAGAAGCAAATAATATGCAAGTTTATGATGTTCAAAATAGCTGATTAAATGACATCGAGGATTACGATTTTCTTCTCGTTCAAATTCCATTTGTGCACTTGCCGGCAATTGACGCTTAGGTTGAGCCATGAGTGTTGGTGCACATATATATGCATTTGTTAATTCTTTTATTGTTAATTTATTAAGTTCTGCTAATTCATCAAGAAATTCATAAATGTGAACTTTTCGTAATAACGAACTCAAAGCATATTTCAGTCTTGCAAGCTTTGCCGAATCTAACATCATTATAGCATTTTTGTATAAATTATTTTTTGATTTCAAGAACTCTTGAACTATTACTGGACTTATCAATGCGGCATCTAATGCACGAAGTGCAGAAAGCTTAACTGGAAGTGCCACATTTTCACGCATGCATAGTGCTAATAATTTATAAGGTGCGTCTACTTTCAAAAGTATGTTTGGTCCCTGTGGAAGTCTACATAAAGCCTCAGCTAAACGAACGCCAACTTTCACGTGACGCACTTTATAGGCTGGTTGTGGTTGAGCACGAGCAAGGTCTACATCAAGACCTGCATTGATAATATTAGTTAAATCATTGGTATCACTAACATTAAGATCACAAGAACCAAGTGTTGCGCACAACGATTCGCAACTATGTACAAATGTTTCCTTTTCTTGACCTGGTGCATTATTAAAATTTAAAACTGACTTTGAAAGAGATTGCAATGTTTCTCGTATTTTATCAATAGTTTCACTATTCATAGAATTTCCTTCAATAGTCTCAAATGGTTTTTCTAATTCTAATAAATCAGGCGGTCCTAAGGTATAAATTGCATCCAGCTGGACATTTTCGCATTCAAATTCTGCTGTAGATGGCAAATCATCAGCCATAATATCTTCATCAGATAATATTGGTTCAAACGGTTCTCCTGTTTCTGCAACAACTCCATCTTGTTCAGCTTCTTCTTCTTCAGCTGATATTGATTCTGGACTCAAGGAAACAAGAGATTCTGAAGGAGGTGAAGACGGACGTTTCACTCCTTTTTGTACATTTGTATTATTTGGATCTTCCTCCCACTGTCCTGAATCTACCTTTCCAGTATCTGTTGTTGAATTTCTAGAGGGTTCTACTACTTGAATTGGTTGAACGGGTGGTGGTGGAGTCGCTGCTACACATGTTTCCTATTGATACAAGATACACATATTAACAATTTTTTCAATCAGTACCATATCATTTGTATATTTAATCTTCCAATTAATAATAATACACACTTACATTTGTATTAGACTGATTTTGATTTTCATAATACCATTCAGATTGTTGCTCTGAAACCTGTGTAGTATTTTCCGTTGTTTCTTCTAATCCACTTACACATACAGTAGATCCAGCAGCAGGACTAATAACTTCCTGTGGATTATTCAATGATTTTGTCAAAGAGCCGTATACAGCTAAAGTAATAGTAGTGTACCAGCCTCGCAATACTAAACCATCAGTTGGTATTTGTTTCCGTTCACATTCTAATTGAATGTGAATATTTTGTTTATATTCTAAACCTCCAAGAGATTCAAATGTAGACGCTCCAGGTTTGCTTAAATCATTTACAAAAAATTCTATTTCAAACTGAGATGGATTAGTAGCACTGAAAAATAAACAATAATACAATGTATATATATATATATTTATATATATATATATGTATAGACAGATATAAATATTTAATTCCATTTTCAAATAATATCATTTTGTTATACACAGAAGATTTATTTCAAAAGTACATTATATAATTATGAACATGTTATGTTATTATTATAATAATAATAATAATAATAATAATAATAATAATTATTATTATTATTATTATTAAATAAAATGCATTAATACAATAAGAAATGTATACATGTTATATTTAATTACCCAAGACGCACACCTCCCGGAAAATCTGCTTGCACTCTAGCTCCTAACGGTATTATCCTAACCTCGCTAATGTAAACAGGTTTTGGAAATTGTACTAAATCCAAATTTAATTCCTTCAGACAAAACATGCGATTAAGAATTTAATTAATACATTATACTAATACATTAAATACATTATATTTGTTTTTACTGAGGTGCAAATAAATTTCTATTTAAAACAAACCTCTGAAATATCATGAGAAAATGTGTCAAAAAATAACAATTCCGTATTATCCATATCTGTGCAACCTTTCTTTTCGGCACAGTTCCTTATGATATTAAAGCATTTTAAATATATTTACTTCATCAGTTAATACATTATGTTATCTGGGAATCAACATTTTACATTAGAACTCTCGTTCGAAAGAATTACAAGTATCTAAAAGTACATCAATGACCAATCACAGCGTTGAATTACAATTGCTTACAATTGGCATCAGTGTGACCAACATTGACGTATATTTAACCATTCGGAAAGTTCGAATATTCGTCTACCATAGTTTTTTGTGTTACGTCATTTAAGGGGAATTAAAAGGAATTCATTTGGTTTTTGAAATATTTATATTAAAATACTCTACTATGGTTGGTTACATTTGGTGATCACCAACAGTGATTGGTTTTGTTAAATAGCTACGTTCAAACAGAAGACGAACAATTTTTGTGTTAAGCTAAGGTTGTCGAAAGAAAGAGTTCTCCGTCTAGAATCTAATGGAACTACGAAATGTGTTAGAAAAATTTGTATTTTGTCATCTTGTCATCGGAATACCGGGAGTACTGTCAAACATCGAGTAATTAATAGTCGTTAAAACCAGAGTAATCATACTGACAAATTATGGGTGATGGCAAGGAAGGCGAGCGGCAGCCGCTATTGAAAAATGAAAATGTTACTTATAGTTCACTCGGTATCGACGTAATAAGTAAATAATAATTGCTTTGAAAAATAGAGTCACATTTATTATAAAAGAAGATTTATTCTGCAAATTAATTTATTCATTGATGTTACTTTAGTTGAACCAGATTCAACAGTCAGTACAGTATCTCCAATAGGTCCAAATGAATTACCTCCGCCATATGAGCCAGCTGATCAGGGTGGTATGCCAATGGTTACTTGTAGAGTATGCCAAGCTATGATAGATATTACAGGCAAGCGAGAGCAACATGTTGTTAAATGTTGTCAGTGTAATGAAGCAACGGTATGTTCACAATGGATTTATATTTTGAATTTATCATGGAAGAAACGATTACATGAGTTTATGTATATTTGTTACAGCCTATAAAAAATGCTCCACCTGGAAAAAAATATGTACGATGTCCATGTAATTGCCTTTTAATATGTAAAAGTTCTTCCCAACGTATTGCTTGTCCAAGGCCAAATTGTAAGCGTATTATCAATCTCGCTCCAAGTCCCATAACACCACCGGTTCTATCTATGCCAGGAATGTGCAGGGTATGCTGTGCCCATTGTCATGATACATTTTTGGTAAGATTTCAAGAATTATTAAAAAAAAAAGATAACATCGTATACTTCTGTGTAATATTATATAATTGATGTTTGTTGCAGTTTAACACATTGAATAATGCTTTAGCTCGATGTCCACATTGTCGCAAAATATCTTCTGTTGGTCCAGACTTTGCTAGAGGTCGTGGTATTGCTTTTATTATTGTTGGCATTATAGCTTTGGTAATTGCTATTGCTGTAACGGTAAGTCAAATAATTATATATTATAATCTATTAAATGAAGACAAATTAGGAGCATATTCAGAATTTTTGGATACTGTAATAATTTTTGGATGAGAATTCAAAGCAAATGCTAACAATGACTTATGTAAATTCTCTCTTGAATTTGACGATATCAGAGTTAAATATCATTCACCATTCAATAGTTAAACTGAATCTATCTCGCATTTAGCATTGTTCTTGTCTTTCGATATTTCTCGTTGAACGGATTATAGTTATAGTAATTGAAGCAAAGATTAAACCTTTAAAAGTGATTTCAATTATAATGAAATAACGTGGAGTTTACTTTCAGGTTGGAACATATGCATTTGTCAAAACTAATGGAGGGATTTATGTAGCTTATGTTGGTGAGTTGAATAAATGTTAATAAAATATATGTATTTTTAAATGATATTATTGCAAAAATACGTAAATATGATTGATATTATATTTCGTATATTCTTTTTTTTTTTTGAACTTTTTAACTACTATACTTTTATTCGTTTATAGGTGCATTTTTGTTAGCCCTTCTTTGCTTAGGACGCAGTATTTATTATTGCACAATGAAGATCAGTCTAATAGAAGGTCCTATGTAGTTGTTCCAGAAACTATCGATGATTAGAATATGAAAATCGATTCTTTTAACATCATTACTGTATAATCTATATCGTATAATATAAATCAAATATTTATAGTAACATGACATTAGTCCTTGTAGGACCAAGGTGATATCTTTATGCATGTAAATGTATGCCTATGTATGCATGCGTGCTACTAATGACGAATACGCGTATACTTACACATGCATATACATGCAAATATGTTATAACAAAGAGAAAGTGAATCAACCTAAGTAATACTTCTTGCATGCAACTATATGAAATGAAAATATATTAGGAATTAAAGAGGGTTTGTGGTGTTCGATGAAGCGTTCCTCTGCATTTTTATATATATAAATCTGTATAAGCGTAGGAACTTAACACGATGACTCATTTATTTTGTTTTTATATTCGTAATAATTATGTCATAAATGCTTTGTACATGTATATCTTTGTGGTATCTATATAAGATTCACATAGATTATCCGTTGTATTTATTCCAGTTATACGTGCTGATATACGTGCATGAGACACTAATAAAAATTATGTTTTCAAACTTATGTTCATATTTACGTATAAATATCTGTATCAAGCTGAATAAACATATGATTAAAAAATTCTTTACTGATATGATACGACTACAATTCAATGATACACACATTTTCCAATTGACAATGCTTACAAATCATAATATTTAAATGTCATAATATTATTTTTACAAAATATTTTATTACATTACGTTTGTAATGAAAACGAATCTAAAATATAAATATACGCGATACTCTGTGACTCGAACGAATATAGAAGAATACATAATTTTTTATCTATAATATATATATAGATATATATATTATTAATTTTATATATATTATTAATTTTAGATAATATATATTATTAATTTTAGAAAAATAATATATCCAATAGAGATATCAATTTCTTTTAATTATACTTTGATACAGTGTATTGGATCTATTGTTCTAAAAAGAAAGTGTACAGTATAATGACCTTTGTTATCAAACTAATGCATTACAATGTCCTAAAGTCATATCTGTTACGAGAAGATTAAATGGACTATGTGTATTGTGCATATATTATTTTAACGATTTACCAACGTAAATTCTATTTTATTTAAGTGTATTCATTTTATATTAAATATATAATTATTAACGATATTCTATATAAAGGAAGTATGAGGATATTTAAAATAAAATACCTTATTCTAGACAATAAAATTCATAAGATTGAATGCGATTGATATTAATTGAAATTAATCATTGTAATGAAACTTTTTCAAGCCATTAAATTTAAATTGTAAGAACTAATGAAAGTTAATGACAATAATATATATGTATATCGTAAAATATATTTTTAAAAAAGAACATTAATGTTTACAAGAATTTAATTCATTAAATATAGATTAATCTTTATATATATATATATATATTTATATATTTATATATTTATATATTTATTATTTTTTAATTGAAATTTATTTTCTTCGTATAGAAAAAAATCAGCTTTATATAAATGCGACATAATGATTGGTCAATCGTACGACATATTGGTTATACAAAATGCGCCTTAAGCTTTCTCTTGTAGAAATTAAAAATTCTCTTTCTCTTCCTCTCTCTCTTTCTCTCTCTCTTGGTTATGTGTAGTCTATGAGAATATGGCGGTAGCGACATGTTGCTGACAACTTGATATGGGATGGGCGTCATTTTAAACGAATATAGCTCTTTTTTTCTCAATAGTGATAATGAATACTGATATCGCGGCAAATAAATATGGCGATCAATTAATGTTAAAATCGTTTACCTTAACGGATCGACAGGTTTCATCGAAATTTATAAAGAGAAAGTGTTCACTTTGTTACGTCGGCCTGTCAATAGTTAAATCTCGTGGTATAGATATCGTGTTGTTTAGGGTTTAACATTTTAAAGACATAATTTCGATAATATAGTGCACTTCATAAATGTAAAAATGGCCCGAGAATATGATCATTTATTTAAGCTGTTGATGATAGGAGATAGCGGTAATTATCTATATATATACGTATAAATTTTATAATACTTGGATATATAAAACAATGTAATTATATACATATATATATATGTATATATATATATATATATATATATGTGTATGATTAACAGTTGATCAAACATTACGAACTTTTTTGTCGTACGAATGAATAAAAAAATTCATAAATAATATTATCGTAATACGATATTACTATTGATTCAAAGTTAATGGAGCATATAGGTTTAATTTTTTTACAAAATTCATTTACAACGCACAAAAGATAGATTTTTATTTTGTTCATATTATAGAAAAAAAAAAAAAAAATTAAAATTTATTAAATATGAAATATATTTATATTAAAATAATTGGAAAGTAAGGAAATAATTGTGTAGAGTACAAATAGTTATTTCTTATTCAGTATGTTATTAATTGTTGGATATTTGATATGATGGTGCAAAGTCAATGTCATTTTTTGCTAATGTAAAATATGTCATTATGTATGATTACATATATACATGATATTATGTTACCATTTATTAAAGTATTGTGTGTGTAATTGCATAATCATATATTAAATTGCTAAGAGATTGATTTTAATTAATTGTATAATATATTTTTATTGATAAATAATTTGTATCTCTGTTTTCACGTGTCCTACAATAATATATATGTTCTTTTTTTTTTTCTTTTTTAAGGAGTAGGCAAGAGTTCTCTTCTCCTGAGATTTGCAGACAATACTTTCAATGGCAGTTATATAACTACGATAGGAGTGGATTTTAAAATACAGACTGTAGAAGTAGATGGTGAGAGAGTAAAGCTGCAAATTTGGGATACGGCTGGACAGGAGCGATTTCGGACAATAACTTCAACTTACTATAGGGGAACTCATGGCGTTATAGTTGTATACGATGTGACCAGTGGTGACTCATTTGCAAATGTTAAACGGTGGTTGCACGAAATAGAGGAAAATTGTGACGTTGTTAACAGGGTACTTGTAGGAAATAAGAACGATGCGCCTAATCAGAAAGTAGTGCTTACGGAAGATGCACAAAGGTTTGCCAATCAAATGGGAATTCAATTATTTGAAACATCTGCCAAGGATAATATCAATGTCGAAGAGGTATTATCAATTTTTTTTCAAGCTCACCTTAAACGTATTTTTCAATTTTACTTATAAAATTATGTAATATATTTATATTGTTTTTAGATGTTTATGGCAATAACGCGACAAGTATTACGGACCAAAAGAGAACGGAATGAGCGTCAAGCAATACAAACGAACGAAACAGTTAATTTGAGAAAAAATACAAAACAGCATAGGAAAAAATGTTGTTAACAGTACCGCAAAAAAAGTGAAAACTGTTAATAATATTATTTTATACAATAATAGGATAGAGAGAAAAAGAGAAAGAAAGAGAGAGAGAGAGAGAGAGAGAGAGAGAGAGAGAGAGAGAGAATAAAACAGCGAGCACGTGTTCGTAAATTGGCGAACATGAGATGCCATACACCTTGATATTTTCTAAAAACCACTAAGTTTTCTATCACGATTATGAAATTTAAGATTGCTTCCTAATGAAAGTTTACTTTGAACTATATCCATATTCAAAGAAATCTGAAATCTCATGAGCGTATATAGCTTATTCAGCCAAAGTGACTTTGTATGGTATTCTGTACTTTTTATTCGGTACAAGAATACTATTTGACGCTGTAATAAGAACAAAGTTTATTTATTTTGTAACATCTATAGAGGAAAATATGAGTGAAGTAGATAAAGTGAAAACTTTTGTTCCTCTTTAACATTCCTTGGAACATCTGGCATTTCTGGGAAAAAAAAAAAGAAAAAAAAAAGAAAAACATAAAAAGAAATAGAAAAAGAAAAAAGGAAAAAAGGAAAGAAACAAAAAGAAAAACTACACTTAACAAAATCAAGAAATATAAGTTCTGTATAAAGATTGATTTATCATTTTATTGGCTGAGATATTTGTGTTTTATAAAGCAGGTTCGATTTTTTAATAATGTTCAGAGAACATAGTTATCTCTTATATAATATGTTACTCCTTAATTCTAGAAAATGTTTAACGAAGTATCAATGATTTTCAAATGATTTGCTTCAAATATATAGTTTTAAAGATCGGTAATCATTTCTTTAAATTAATCCAAATATTTGAATTATCATTCGCATGAATTGTCATGCCGCACAAAGAGAATAGCTATACGAAGCAAAAGTTTGAACGTTTACATTAATTTGATATTTCGTATTCCATCTAAACCACAATAAAACACATAAAGCCAATTCGAATGTGTATCCTGAGAAAAGAAGCTTATTACAAATATTATCATCCTCACACAAACTTAATTTCGAAGTTGTAATATTGTTTTATAGTATTTAGTTGCTTCCTTTGCAGTTATTTTTAACTGTATGCTACAAAAATAGTGAAAAATACGAGTGTAAAATGTTGCTTGGAAGAATCCAAGAATTATTATTCGTTTGTATTTATGAAAATGAAATAAGATTGCATGCAAATTTGGAGTAATAGGAAATTGTGTAAAAATCGATGACTCACTAGAATGCCCATTATTTATTTGTTTTTTTTTCTTTTTTTCTTTTCTTTTTTTTTTAAATTTCTCATATTATTTTTCGCGTGTTAATTTATTGACGTCATTGCCTAAAAGAAATTATTAATCGAAAAAAATTATGTCTATTCTGCTTTGGTGTGTAATTTTATGTGAACTTTTTATATCAACAATGAATTATTTATAATCTAGTCTTCTTATAAAAGTGTGTCCTATTACGTCAAAAAGTACAAAAAAAAGGAAAGAATAAAAATGGCGTCATTGGATTAATATTGTTTAGCGAATATTTTACATTGCGAAATAGTATTATTTTAAAACGATATGTTTTGCATGAATCATAAAAAAACAAAAATTAAACGAATAGCAAATCTTGTTCTTATATTAATGTTTTTGTACACGAACAATTAGTTCTAATTTTGTTCGCTACGTTATTGCAATATAAAATATGGACATATAGATATAATTGAGAGGAAAACGTGGTATCATAGTCATATTTCGTGAAGTCATTTGAAAATGTAAATAAATTATAAAAACAACCTACGACATTTATGTTCATTTTTTTTCTATCGTAAAAATCTTTAACGTATAAGAAAATGGATGCTCGGAGATAATGTTATTGCGGGATATAATTATTCTTATCTATTAGAACAAAAATAACGAACATTAAAAATTCAGTTGTATCATCGTTTGCCGCTCCCAACAGGCTCGATGCTGATTGGTGACTTCAAAAAAGTATCTTGTAATGAGATCGCGTACGATTGGAGAACGACGATGAGCATGAAAACTCGAAGAATATTATTGGTCGTGACATGATCATCGAATGAAAGTTAATTCTTTCTAATAGTTCTTTTGTTCTTTCTTTACGAAACAAATGAGAAGAATGAAGAGAAATAAGAATAAATACGTGAAAGAGAGAAGAAAATTGAAAAAAAAAAGAAAAAAAGAAAAGAAGATAGGTGGCGCTATGTTGGAGGGAAAATTGTATTAGAAGTCGAACGAATGATTTCGGTTGGTCGGTATCTTTAAACGATTCGTCGATGTATATTTATTCAAAAATTTATAACGGTAAGACGAATAATTCTAATTATTTTACGCATAATACAAGCCGAAAGAGATTTTATAAAACGATATATACCGTAACATTGTATAGTTTGAGCATTCGATTTAAAAGCTTATAATATTAATTTTGAATTAGCGACACGTAGCGGTATAACCGGAGAGAGAGTTTCGACAGGTAGAGTCGCGGCTCAAGATGGCGCTTTTGAATGATCGGTGCGCGTAACGGGGTGCGCGAGCGTTACGTAGTCGCGGAGTCTTCAGTGTTCGCGCCGCGGAGAGCCAGAAAGACAGACATCTTGTAGTAGAATTTAGCGGCGTGGTGACTTGACCGTGAGGTGTCGGTGTCGCGGTGCTTCTTACGGTGTCGTCGTCGCCGTCGTCGTCGTCGTCATCGTCGTCGTCTGTCATCGGTCTCTCATTATATCGTAAAATAAAAAAAAAAAGAAAAAGTTCGTTTCGAGTCTTCATCGTCGGTCGTCGTCGGTCGTCGTCGTCGTCGTCGTCGTCGTCGTCGTCGTCGCCGCGTCGGTCGTCGTCGTCGTCGTCGTCGCCGCCGCCGTCGTCGTCGCCGCCGCCGCCGCCGTCGTCGTCGTCGTCGTCGTCGTCGTTGTCGTCGTTGTTTGTCGTCGATTGTCATCGTCGTTGTTGTTCAGGTTGACGTTGACGTTGACATTGACGTTTACGTGCTCTCTCGTGGTAGTGTCGAGATCGTGAGATCTCGTCGTGCCGGCCGTGCAGCTCGCGTGGTCCAGCGATTTAGTCGTTAAATAGGAAAAAAAAAGAAAAGAAAAGAAAGAACTTCTCTCTTGTGAATCGTCATTTTGGCACCTCTCGTAGGTGGAGGAAACTGCGAGAGGAGTTACGACGTGAAGAAATAAGAAGAGGTGTAAAGAAAAGAAAGAAAGAAAGAAAGAAAGAAAGAAAGAAAGAAGAAGTAGAAAAAGAGAGGAGGAGAGAAACGGAGGAGGGTTAAGTGCGGAGAAGCGGCAGGAAAGAGAAGAGTAGAAAAGAGCGTGGAAGAGAAGCGAGGCGCGAAGGGGAAAACTCGTTTTGCTCCGCAAACGCCCATGAACGACGACGCTCTGGAGCGACCAATGTCGTATCGCCGCCGTCGTACCGTGCGATAACTTCCGTCACCTCTCCGGTCCCCCCCCGTCCTTTCTCCCTCTTCGCGTTATATCCACGCGAGTCTCTCTCTCTCCCGGCCATAATACCGCGTTGCTTTCTACTACGTGCGTGTGCCTACCAAGTCGTCGTCGATCGCTCTTGACTTTTCCTGTCGACGTTCGCCACCGGTGAACGAGAGGTGCTGCTGGTATTGGTGCTGGTGCTGCTGCTACTACCGCTGCTGCTACCGCTGCTGCTGCTGCTGCTGCTGCTACCACCATCTCGTTTATAAAAGAAACGAGTGTGTGTCGTAGAGAGGAGGAGGAGGAGGAGGTGGAGGAGGAGGAGGAGGTGGAGGAGGAGGAAGAGGAGGAGGAGGAGGAGGAGAAACGCAATAGGTGGAGGACCGATCGAGATCGTCCTGTGCACCGGGTCACCGCCGCTGACTGACCGGATCCAACAGGAGCGCGTGTGCGGGCCGAAAAGAAAGAGAGAGAGATATATAGAGATAGAAATAGAGATAGATAGAGATAGAGACTGAGTGTATTGTGCGTGTGTCAGAGGGAGCTTAAGAAAAGGGGCTGAAGAGGGAGAGATGGAGAAAGAGAGAGAGAGAGAAAGAGAGCGAGGGGCCGGCGCCCATACTGATACATCCAGCATGACCTCGAACAACTCGCCGAAGCTCTCAACGACGGAACGAGTGATCAAAAGTAAGCCACGAGAAAGTTTTCCCTTCTCTATATATACGCGGAACTACTATGTTATTATATCTTTTTTTTAAGTGCAAAGACTTCTCGTGCGAGAATGATAGAAAGAGAAAGAAAGAGAGAGAGAGAGAGAGAAATAGTCATGCCGTATACGCGATCCTCTTGAACGGTCCTTTTCTCCGTCGGTATGTCAGATTCCGAAAGAGTAACGGATAATATCTTTCACCCCATTTACTTACCTTTCTTATTCTTTTTTATTTTTTTTTCTTTTTCTTCCTCTTCTTCCTCTTCTTCTTCATCTTTTATCATTCCGTCTTTCGTCATCAGTTTATATCTATATATTTCATATTTCCCCGTTTCCTTTTCTTTTCTTTTCTGTTTTTTATCGTGACTTAGGCCAAATGAATTTCCTCGGAAGAGAACATTGATCGTTCTGTTCGAGGATCCGCGTGCGAAAGAAAAGGAGAGAAATTGAGAGAGAGAGAGAGAGAGAGATAGATAGAATGAAAGGGCACGAAAGAGGACGAGAGAAGGAAAGAGAGAGAGGGAAAAGAAAAACAAAAAGAAAGAAATAAAAAGAGACCGAGAGAGAGAGAGAGAGAGGCGCGTCAAAACACGATGTGTGTGTCGCGCGGGATTGATTTTCTTGGTGGCCCCATGGCGCCATCGTTATCGACCTGACAACGTTCTCTCGCTGACCCTTCGTTTTTCGCCTTTCCTCGTCTCGGCTAGCTCGGCTATGCTCTTCTCGCGGCCTCTTTTCCGAGGCCGAGCGTCGCACCCGTCACACGATCCTTCTTCTTCTTCTTTTTCTTCTTTTTCTTCCTCTATTACTGTTACTACTACTACTACTACTACTACCAACTTCTACAACTACTACTACTACTACTACCAACTTCTACAACTACTACTTTTACTACTATTGCTTCTATTACTTTTACTACTACTTTTACTACTATTGCTTCTATTACTACTATTACTATTACCACTACTATTATTACTATTATTACTACTACTACTATTATTATTATTGCTTCTCTTTCTTCCTTGGATTTTCCTTTTTCAACTTCTTCCTCTTCAACTTTTTCTTCTTCAACTTCTTCCTTTTCAACTTTTCTTCAATTTTCCTTTTAGCTCCTTCTTCTTCTTCTTCTTCAACTTCTTCCTTTTCAATTTTTCTTCAATTTCCCTTTTAGCCTCTTCTTCTTCTTCTTCTTCTTCTTCTTCTTCTTCTTCTTCTTCTTCTTCTTCTTCTTCTTCTTCTTCTTCTTCTTCTTCTTCTTCTTCTCCTTCAACTTCTTTAGCTTCTTCCCCATATTCGACTTGTTTAGATTCTTCTACTTCTACTTCATCATCTTCAACTTCTTCTTCCAATTCAACCGTTTTCTTCCTTATTTTCCTTTTCAGCTTCTTCTTATTCAACTTCTTCCCTTTTCAGCTACTTCTTCGGGTTCTTCTTCATCAGCTTTTTCTTCATGGTTCATTTTCTTCTTCTTTAATTTCTTATTCTAGAAAAGAGAGCCTTTTCCAAGCACGCGAGCGACCTCGTTTCATTCGAGGTCGAGGAACGGAATCGTCTCGAGGACGTTGCTTCTTATCGTCGTCGTTATTTTCATTGTCGTTCTCGTAATCGTAGTCGTAGTCGTAGCAGGCTCGAAAATTCGCGTCTGGACGCAGCGAGCGAACGAGAGCAAGCAAGCAAGCGAGCGAGCGAGCGAGCGAGCGAGCGATCGATCGATCGAGCGACGAACAGCTGACCGAGCGCGGTCACGCGTCCGCCCGCTACCACCGCCGCCGCCGCCGCCGCCGTCGCAGCCGCCACCGCCGCCGCCGCCGCCGCCGTCGCTGCTGC